GTGGAACCAGGCACAATTACTTTTACATGTTTTACAAAGGAAATTCAAATACATAACTTTGGTTTACAAACAGAACGGTTTTATGGGATTAAAACTACTTTTCACATACAAAAGAAAATATAGGATTTTCTGGAATAGTTTTACTTATTCAATGAACAGAAAACAAGATTTTGAACATAAATACTTATGCACTCACTCAACTTTATGTTGATACTCCTTTTCAAATTACTTGTATTCTTAGGGAATCAGTAGACAGGTACTCCCCAAGCTTCTGAGAAGACGGAGCAGTTTTGAGTCATGTCTTCTATATTTTGTATCAACTATTTTAGCGTCAATAACTATGATTGAACACATGTATAAACTTTTACTTATTAATGCAGTGGTTGTTCGTACTTTGATATTTATAAATGTATGTGTTGTGATACTACAAATAAAGTCATCCACCCCAGGACGTTTCCGCCGTCTGGTTTGGGGGTGTGACATGATAGCTTGGGGATTTGTCGGACCAGTAGCTCAAGATTGATCAGTGTGGTTCAACAGTTCGAAGTGAGTTTCCTCATTGTGTTTAGCGGGTTGAAGGCACCAATGCCGACCCATGATTTTTTTATGTTAGGATGGTTGATGTTTGCGTGAATCTTGCATGTGTTATGTACTCGTATGCTTACCGGAAAGGGGGGGGGGGGGGCGATGTCCATTTTGTATGCTATGTATCTTTATGATTATTGCATGCGCATGTTTTTATATGTTATATGTATGTCGAGTAGGGCCCGATCTGTATACCGAGCAGGGATCGATGTTGGGAGGGGTAGGATGTCGGGTGGGGCCTATTATGTGTTTATTATGTTTGGTATGTGGTATCTTGGAGAACTCACTAAACTTTGTGCTTATGGTTTTCAGTTTGTGTTTCAGGTACTTCCAGTTTCAAAGGGAATAGCTCGGGATGATTGTATAGCACATACCACCTCGTTCCATATTTTTTTTAATTTACTCTGTTGTGATATGATGATCGATACTTTTGTTTTATCTAGATTTGTATGATGATGTTTTTGGGATAGTGGTTTTATTAATTTAGTAATGAAATTTTTGCGACGTTACTTGGGGCGAATGATTCGAAGGAAAGATAGGCCCGAACTAGTAGACTGCGTTTGACTTGAGTACATATATCAATTATTTGATGGAAAAAATCTTCGACATATCTGTCGGCCAAATCCAAGCATCTATGTTGATGTTAAGATTTAAATCTCGAAGATCACAAGAAAATCGTTTAATTCCATCGTTTCAAATCCTAACACGAGTCTTCGCTTCCATCTCCATTTCTAAGAAATATTCCCTTCCACAAGCGAAAATCAATCAAAACAAAATATTTTTTTGTGTTTCAAGTAAAAAAGTTAGCAAATTTATGTTTAAGAGAGACATCACTATCCATTGTCGTGCCGAAATTTCGAGTTTTCTCCAATTGCAACCACACATTTGAAATAACATTCTAGATCTAGTTTATGAGCAATAAAATTTACCTTATTATTACCTATGTTTTTCTATACCCCGGCAACCCCTTCCTTGCCATTCTATCATGATTGTGCCGTTAAAGTTAGGGGTGAGCAAACCCGAACCAAAAAACCGAGAAACCGACAAAAACTGACGAAACCGAAACCGAATCAAAACCGACAATGTGGGTTTTAAATTTGTAAAAACCGACTTTCCGGGTTCGGTTTCGGTTTTGCCCCCAGAAACCGACCAAACAACCCAAGAAACCGACCCAGCAAACCCGCAAACCCAATGCTTTTTACTGATTATATATATATATATATATATATATATATATATATATATATATATATATATATGTGTGTGTGTGTGTGTGTGTGTGTGTGTGTATTAACAAAATAAAAATAAATAAAAGAAGCTTAGGTGTTTTTTTAATTATTTAACTAATTGTTACATTTCTGGAAAATGGGTTCAAACCCAAAAACCGTAGGTGTATGGGTTGAACCCAAGAAACCGACAAACCGCCCAAACCGATATCAGAAACCGAGAAACCAAACCGACTAGAAACCGACCTATTGGGTTTTGAAAACCAGAAACCGATCATTTACGAGTTGGGTTGGGTTGGGTTGACCGATCCAAACCGACCTATGCACATATCCCTAGTTAAAGTTATGAATTGCCCGAATCACTTTGCACCAAAGTTCAGTATTTTCAACCATACACCTCCGCCACCATTTAGCAAGCAGTGAGATATTCATAATTTTCAGGGATCCAACACCCAGTCCACCAAGTTCCTTAGGAGTCATTACTCTTTCCTACGAGACACAGTAAATGCTATGTTTCTCGAGATTCCCACACCAAAGGAATTTTCGTCTTAGCTTTCAAGGAAATTGATAATCACACTATTGAAAAGCGACAAGTAATAGAGATGAAGACGCCTTAAAACGATTTCACAATTGTGACTTTGACCTCCAAAAGAAAGAAACCGATCTCAATAAATGCAAGAAATAGGACATATATGTCTTGTTTCCTTTCTTAGATACTAGGCGTGAGACCCATGTATTACATGAGTTTATTTCAAAAAATTAAATATGAAATTTTAATAATTTGAGAAGTTTGAATTTATAAGAAAAATAAGAAAAAAAATTGAAAATTATTAAAATTAATGAGGCTTTAATACATTAAATACATTACATATATAAATCATTTCTAACAAATACCTTACATGTATATTAGCTTACATATTAAATGTGAAATTTTAATTTCATAAAATGAAAAATACAATAAAATGATAAGTAGAGCCGGGAATCCTACTAGAAATAGAAATTCGAACAAGCGACCTATCAGACAATACAAAATTCAAAAATTTTAGAAAATGACATGTGTCCAAATGAAGGAGAAGAGGACATGTGAAGAAAAAAAAAAAAAAAAAAAAAAAAAAAAAAAAAAAAAACTTACTTTATTAAGGAGGATAGGAGAATAATTGACTTTGGTTAAATACGATGCGTAAACTATAAATTATTTATGCATTCTACGCTCTCCGATCAATGACAACTCACTAACAAGAAATAAACGAACATTATGACATATCCATAATAAAATAGTGACTTCTATTTACAACTTATTCATTAGATCATAAACAATGGAGACCAAAATAAAAAATGTATACATATATAAGTAATGAATTCTACATTCTTCCGAAACCAAAGAATAAAATTAAATGGAAAGGAAAGCATGAAATCTTATTGTCTAGCTTCTAAGTTGAACCTAGTTCATGTATAGACGACATATTCTTGTAAATTTCAACAAGCAATCTGCTTTGGAATTCATCGTTAGAACTAGAAATCTTTGATGATCGACCAGCCTTTGAAGCATCTTTCCCATTTTTCTTGGAGCTAATGAAGTTAAACATCTTCTTGATCTTCGAAAACCTTCCATGGTTGTCCTCTCCAAGACGGACAGTCTTCATGCTCCTCCCACCATCGAACCCTCCATGTGTTTCTCTCCTCCACACTCTATTTGCATCAACAGAACTCGAAACACTTCTCGAAAGGCTTCTTGTGAAGTTTTCCATTTCTAGTAGCTCTATTCAAGTTCTTGATGTGTGTTGTGAGAGTACTTATGAGTGTTGTGTTGTGAGAAATGGTTTTGAAGAGTATATATACATATTTAGACATGTCATGCGGTCCATTAAAGTTAGTTTGAAGCCATGTGTTATTTATAAGTTTGACCAACTTTTATTGACCATATTATCTAGTCAACAAAGTCGATTACTTTAATATATTCTATATATAAAATAAATAAACGAAGAGTGTTTCACATATCTTTCAAATCAAATGAAATTCATTTCTCATAGTAATTAAAATATTTTGTTATTTTGAAGGAAAAAGTTATTAAACAATAAAAATAAATATAAAATACCTAGCTATATGTAATATGCAATCCGCTTTAAATATTTAAAAACAATTATGTGATATATATTCAATTGTATGACCGTATCAAAAGTCAAAGATAGGGGTGAGCTCGTAGCGACCCATAATTTTTTATCTTTTTTTTTTTAAACTACAAATGTAAATTTTATAATTATTTTTAATTTCACTTTTTTTTTAAACTACAAAATGTAAATTTTAAAATTATTTTTAATTTCACTCTAAGATGGGACTAGAAGCCTCATTATTAAAGAGTTGACAACACATAGTTACCAATTTTTTTCGAGGCCAAAGCTAAACTTGAATACTGAATCATATATATACCGATATACTTGTTCAATTAGGGTTTTAGGACTGGAAATTCGGTTTTAGAGCTACTTAAAACCAAATTTTAGAACACTAGATAACAACTAATGTAAACAATTACCTAGTACGAAATATACGTTGTTTTTCCTTTTTCCATCATTGTTCTCTGAGAAGTAACCTTAAATTATAATCAGGCAAAATATATAGTTTGACTTCTACATGTAGAGTCCACTTCACAAAATTATCAAAGAAAGAATTTGTGCACTATTGGTGATTAAATCAATTTAAGCTGAAATGCAGAAAGCAAGATATAAAACGAAGACAGCTTTAACACAAGCTCAAATGCAGAAAGCAAAAGTACAAGATAAATGAGAAGAAAAAAGGAAACCGATAATTACAACAGCAGTGATAAGCTTGTCATGGAGTAATAATTCTATGACCACTACAAGAATAAACGAGGTCTACAGGACGTCATATGTCGTCTCTAAAGATAACCTATAGGGACGACATGTCGTCTCCATATAATTGACAATTTTTTTTTTACTTTTACAGCTACAGCCGTCTTACCATATTAAAGCGGGAAAAGCAACTAAATTAGGCGCGTTTTGGGGAAGGCTATAGGAGAACAACCTCTTTGTTTCGTTCACGCACACTCAATCATTAGTCTCTATCTCTCACTCACTCTCGATCGGAGATTCTCCTTTCCCGAATTTCGACCATTATCTTCTCCTCTGGCGACTTCCTCACCTCCCACTCCCCGTGCATCTTCTTCCTCTCTCTATGGATTGTCATGCTAGTTGTCGAACACCACCATTACGCTCAACAACGTCGATTAGTTTCAACGCCGCCGATTCGGACTATCGGCTTCCTTTTGACATCCAATTACGATTACTATTGAATACAAGCCCTACACCAGCTACCAGGTTAGTAATTCTCTGTTTGAACCTATAATTGAGGTATATGTTAGAAATTATGTAATTTAAACTGGAATTGGGATATAAGTGAACGATGATGACGACGACAAACTCAAATTCGATAGAGATTTGTTTTCAATTTTGCTCTGTACGGTTTCTTTGGCTGCAGCAAGCTTATTGTATGTTCAAGGTAAGTTATATTATTGTTGAACCTCATCTTTGTTTTTACAAATCTCGATAACTCTGTGATCTAAACAAAGTTAGCTGAAATCATGTCAATTTGTTGTATGTACAACTTGCTAATCTTCTAAAACCTATAATTCTGACTATCAGCGTCCTTTTATGCGATTCTTGTGTGTGTACTTGGTTTTTATACAATTCCTGTATACATAATTGTTTATTATGCTTTTGAATTCCATAATTATGGTGTGTATAGGATTGGAGAATCGAATGAAGTTGCGGTCACCTAGCCACCTGAGTAGTCTTGGAACGAGGTGATTGCCAGATTTACTTGATGTTCACTAAATGATTATCCATCTATTTTTGATATTCCGAAAGGGCAGTCATGTTATTTTTTCTCATTGTGTGAGAGTATTTTATATTTCCTGAATAGCTATATGCGGAGTCATTAGCTAGGTTTGCAGGAGGTTCTCCATATATCTACCCTCTCTATGGACTAGGAGAATCACCTCAGGTATAATCAATAACAAAAGATTCGTTTATTTAATTATTTAATCTACTATTTGAAAATATTTTAACTTTATCTGATAAATATTTTCAAGCATTTGCTCGTTTGAGTGCAGTCTATGGCGGCACCTACGTGCTCAACAAACCACAATGCAAGGTAATCCACAGAACTGGAATTCCAGATTCCATTCCATTCCAAGGATGGAATTGAATTTTGTTAGATTTTCTTCAAATCCCATGTTTCATGAGTGAAGGGAATTCAATTTCATTCCTTTAAATTCTTCATTTTTTTACAAAAAGACCAAAATACCCTTTGTCAAATTCCAATTCCATTGACAGATTCCATTACTTTCAAAAAAACAAGTAGAGTTTGAAGATGGGAAAGCAATTGGTGTTACATTAGAAGGAGAAACTGCAAAATGCAAAAAAGTAGCTATGGGGGCGATGTATCGTCTCTGTAGGTCCAACAATGGGGATGATAACCACAAACCAACAAAAATGATATGTCTTCTCTAAACAGTATCTATGGCGACGATATTTATAGCGACGACCCAAGCTATCTATTGCGACAGGGCTATAGCGACAAAGGCTATAGGGACGACTTGTTGTTACAACCACCTATAAAGTCGACTTTATATAACCTATAGAGACGACATTTGTCATCCCTATAGGTCTCCTTTCTTGTAGTGACGACTGAAACTCTGTATTTTTCCTAGCATCTCGCTAGGTGTGTTTTCATGAATTCTTGTCTAGCAGTTCAAAAAAGGCAACTCCATGCTTTTTTGCATAAGTTTACCCTATGAAAATGTAGGTTAGATCTAAAATAACAAAGCAATTTGGATTTTACTTTGTGTGCTGAAGCAGGTGTGAAGCGAAAGAACAAAACGGTGACAAAAATTAGAAGGAAACAGTGAACAGGAAGAAAGCAAGTAGGAACAAGGGAAGAAGAAATAGGGGACAGGAGAGGTAATCACACAAAATACTTGTTGGCTAAGTTTTCTTTGATTAAACCTAAAAACCGGATGAAAAGAAAAAAGGAATTAAAAGATCACTCCTACTTATAATATAGATAAAATAAGGAAAAATGTCACTATAGCATAATCAAAACAGTATTACGGTTGACCGGTGTGATAAAAAAAAATATTGGTTTTACTTTGTTTTATATCATTATTATGTAATTTGTTCTCATATTAGTATAATGACAAATCTACCAAATTAAAAAAACATATGAATGAATAAAAGAATAACAATAGATTAAAAGTCAATAAAATAAAAGAATAGAAATCCATTAAAACACAATTAAATGAAATAAAGTTCAAAACAGAAAAAGTCAAAGCTATTGCTCTAGAGTTATTGCTCTAAGATGTTCAAAGGTGCTAACAATTATATTTGCATATATAGTATTATCCTTGTAAGAGATAAAAAGAGCAAATAATACATTAGGTAGTGCTTCATGCATGATAATTACGGTCAGACATATTAAAAACTATATGAAATAATATCCTGATAATTTTGACAACTCGTGCAAGAATGCAGATCCCACCATGTGGTAACATCTTGTATTTCTAGGGTGACCTAGTTGTATCATAAGCTTTAGGCACCTACCACAAGTCAAATATAAAAAATGTAAAATGATTACAAGGACTTTTTCTCATTCATGCTTTATAAACTTTGAATACTCGTCTGTACGTAAATGTTAGATGATTATAAGATGAATTAGTAACATTTTTATTTGAACAACTCAGAACAATTTTCTATACAAGGAAAGCGCGGAATCTAACGAGCGGCCAGAGCATACAAAACAACAAGAGAAGAAGACAGATTACATCCAGCTATCTAAAGACAAGTTTCTACCGTATTTGTAATGAAGTCTAAACTATAAGAAGCTATTGTTAATGACTTCCGAGGCGAGAATAGAGATGCTTTTAACTTTGCAGTTGAAATGAATGTCGTTCTGGGTGCACCAATTGGCCCATAGGAAGGCCCGAATCATAACCCCATATTTGATGGCCTCCACATTCGTTCCTATGAGATCCTCTCCGTTGAGCAAGTCTTCAAGCTCAACCCCCTGTGATAAATCTGGAAGTTTAGACCATTTTACCCTTAAGTTTGCCATAAGCTGCCTTATTGTGGAACACTGCATAAACAAATGATCTGTAGATTCTGGATAACAATTGTATAACGAGCACAAGTGCATTGGAATATGAATGCCTCTGTACAAAAGGTTTTCAACCGTAGGTAATTGATTAAGGCCCAGACGCCAAATGAAGGTATTTATTTTTCTAGAACGTCATTACACGGAACTGTCTTGAGAGAGGTATTATAAAGTGTGATATCGTCCATATCCTTTCTAAGTGAACTGACCGTGTCCAGTACATCCTTTTCTAGAGTCCACTTCCAGTTATTCCCATCTTGTGTAAGCATGTTATTCATGTGTAAACCAGCCTTATTCAGAGTCGTGTTGATGCTACTAATTCCACCCTAAACATTAGATTTCCGATAAGCATGGATGACTTCCCCAAGGCGTCCCATGTCAACACAAAAGGCTTTTATCACGTCCTTGTAGATTCCTTCAGTACTTGCAAAGAAGCACCAGCATCATTTACCTAGAAAGGCTAAATTTGCTGCATTAACGCTGCAAATGGTCAAACCTCGCTTCTCCATGTTATTCAACATTTTTTACCACGAAACCCATGTAATTTTCTTTGAATCAGCCTTTCACCCAAGAAGAACCTCCATTAGATACTTTCAGTCTGAGTAACCTTATCAAAGTCATTAAGAAAATTAAAAAAATCTACAAAATTAGGGGTTTATGCTTAACACAACTAAAAGTTCAACTAATGAATTTATCTTGTTAA